AGGACTGCTTGGGATACCATGAAAGGGCCATATGGACTGGGCCCCGTGAATCGTTTAATCCTCGCGCCCAGGGTATTCACCTCAATGGATCCGTAAGTAGTCTTTTAGCTGATCAATAAAAAAGAGGACTGTTCTCAAAATTTTGCTTTAGAGGGTGCGAGATATGACATATGCTGCCCAGAGGCCAGAGCAGATCCACCGATTTCGCATGTTCCAGTTCCTCTTTGCTACAACAATAGTACATGAGGCAGGTGCTCACCTATTCATCACCTACATGACCAATGGGCGTGTATATACGCCTCCCCAAATCACAGCCCCTGGCTTTGGAACACGACTTGTAGGCGAGTCTGGTCGGTTTTACGAACTTGTTTTGTTCGGTGGAACAATCGAGTTTTATCGAGATAGCCAACAGGACGACCGGCAGGTACGGTTTGTTTCCCATCCGATATTATTGGTTTCCAATTGACATGAGCTATAGGCGGGCGTCCCCCACCAAATAGATGCTGATGAAAGAGCCTGGAGAATATCCCCGGTATTTATTAATGCGGTGTGTCGCTATGGTATGTTTTAAAATTCTCAGCTACAACTCTTCCCTTTCTCTTTCCGCCAACAGAAGATCTAAAAAGAGCTACCGTCCTTGAGGGCCATGTATGTATGTACGTACATTATTCAATTGAGCCTGGGGAGGGTGCTGCTAAGGGCCGTTTTTCTTACTTAGAGTTCACTTTTCCCTTCATAAGGGAAGGTGGGGCGATTGATCCTAGCGCCATGGGCCGCAACGCTATCTCAGCAACGCGCTGTTCGACCAACCCTTGCTCAGTTCCGCGGCCACCAGGTAAATTTTGCTCAGGTCAAACAAGTTCCATTCAATCCTGCGACAAATCTTAGCGTGATTGTCGTTTAGGATGTCTTACTTATTGTTGTGGCAATATATTTTCTTACACTTTCTCATTCAATGATATCCACATTTTTGTTATGGTAGCGTATCCAGAGGGTTTCGGGATTCGGGAACAATATCACAGCGTGTCAACATAAGAAGGTATTCGAATTTGCTTTAACTTATGTCTAGAGATCAATCATCATCGCATAGATGCCTAACTAAGCAGATTCAGGACATGATCTTAATAGCTGACGCAGCTGACGCACTTGATGCGAAATGTATTAATTTTATTTCCCGCCATTCCCTTTCATTAATGTTATCAGTTGGAAAATGATAGATATCTAAGAAATAGGTCCCGCAGTAACAGCGGGCCGCCTAAGAGAACCCTCAACAGAAAGAAACCTGCAGATATTATGGCGGCAAAACTTAAAATAAAAAGGAAACAGGCAGGCATTTGCAATGACAATAAGAATATCC